GGGAAGGGAAGGGAAGGGAAGGGAAGGGAAGGGAAGGGAAGGGAAGGGAAGGGAAGGGAAGGGAAGTTGTGTACCAGACGCTTAACAAAATCAATAGGAAGATCATTATTAATTAATCACTTTGCTAACTGATGAACTAAAAATGTTCCCAGTAGAGTTCAGGATTCAAAGCTCAGAGATGGATGTGGCCTAGACATGCAGGTTAATGCAAAACAGTGTAAAGGGAAATACAAATTGGAAGTCAAAACCGCAGTTATTAATATAACACGGGGAAAGTACTTTTGTCTTTCATATGATGCCTCTGATCATTTGTGAGGCAATAAAATGTCACTGGACTATAATTCAAAAAAAAAAAGAAAATTGTATCAGTTTCTGTCATTTTCTCAGTAGCACATTCACATAGCTTGAATTTTGTCACACATTTGAAGGTAAATTTTAAGCATATATTAGTTATGCTTTCCTTGTTCCTCAAACAGTCCAGGATGTAAAAACCACAAACAAATAACCCCTACGCCCCTTCAGAAAACACACAATCCAAACCCTAAAAACTACAGGAAAAAGAACCTTGTCTATATTTGCTTAGGTTGTCATAGGTATAGAAGTCTGTGTGGGGAATATTTACAGCCTTCTCCATAAAAATGGCATAATTCTTTGCATTTAACAACAATGGTTACTCAATTGCTACTTGAAAAAAGAAGTCCTTTGTATTTCAAATTAACACTAATTTATGCCTTTCAGTTTATCTCATTGTGCTGCTCAAACCACAAGAACTATATATAAATGAGGCAAGAGCTAACTTAAATGAAGGGCAGTATAGGTCAATATTTTCATTTATTAATCAACTCTGAAAAGATTCTTAATTTGAAGAAAATCTTCCTATTTTCAGACCTTGTCAAGACTGAAAGCCTTTTCTGTACAAGCATTTTGAGGCAGAAAGAAGCAAAACAAGTTTGACAGAACAGCTTTCCTGGCTAGCAGTCAGAGCCCAAATTAAAAAGGAGAGATTTCATTGGTCTCAAAGCAATGGTATTTGTAGACTGTTTGTTAACTTTCACAAAAAGGCATGTGGGCATAAAATTCATCATAGAGGTCACTCGCCTTTTATTGGAAACAGGCAAAATCATCACAATATATTCAAATAGGTTTCAAAAACATTTAGTACCTAATGGATTGTTCTTGCATCACTCTTATTTTCTGATGAGGAAAGCAGTTACAGTATTTGTTATACCTTGGTATCATATAAAAGCCTCAAGATCCCCAAAGGGTGGACTTACTGGTTTAACAGAAAGAGAGACAAAGGAGGAGAGACAGAGATTTGTGGGAGCTATTACCAACAACACATCAATTCTCACATTCTTCTTAATTCAGTAGCTTTTGCAATTTATTGATACTACATAATTTCAGTGGATATGGCACTCGTCATGTGGGTATTTTAATATTTGTCTCTTTTGTCATCTGCACTTGCAAAATCAAGATAATATAGCTATATATATAGAGAAAAAATATACTTGTCCACAGAAGCTGGTTCAGTCACTAAGATCAATTAAAGTATTTGCTTCGTCATGCAAGCTCTTTCCCTTATTTAGCTGCCCAAACCCTTCTAACAAACAGGTTCCCAAATAAAAATTCGGAGTCTCTTTTCACAGGTAGCAAAAGTATGGATAACGCATGCCTAATAATTTTAGCAGTGATTCATCTCTAGTTCACTAAATATTAGGAGACTGATATGCCAAAAATAAATGAGGAGTAACTCACATGGTTGCTAGAAAACTACGTTAAAATCAAGAAATAAGAGAGGGCTGAGAAATTTTCTTCAGCCTGATATATTCTAAAAAGTGGTGTATTAAATCAACTAATTTTTTAATCTGTTTGTTGTGTTCTTCTGTTTTTAAGGCACTAAGCTGTTTACAGAAGAAGAACAAACAGTGATTATGGAAGATGAAGAAAAGGATGGAGATATAATCCACAGTTAAATTACAGTGATATTTCAATAACACAGTGTAAATAATTCTGGGTCATTCAAAGTGGCAGCACATAAAAAAAGGTTCTTTCATTTTTAGAAATAATTATTTTCTCAACCATGCACTTGAATTTAAACTATAATCAAATGCTTATCTGCTTATCTACATCACATGAATTCCCAGTAAGCATCATAGGAGATGATGGCAGTAATTTCACTTACAGTTTGAAGCATGTGGCAGTTTACTACAAGTGGCTTCCCAGCATTTTGGTCAGTGAGAAATTCATCTCAGATCAGATCTAGCTTTGTGCAGTGTGGTGCTCATACAGTACCTGGCACTAGATACTAGAAAAGTGGTAATGCAGAGCAGCAAAACATCAACTAATGATTCAAATTGCTTTTTTGGGCCTGATACTCTATGTTATTTGCCCAGCTTTTTTCTTCTGGAATAACACTAACCACAGTGAAAATTCCCACATGCATGGCTGATGGGATAGATGGAGAAGGTGAGAGGGCAGGATTCAACTCTAGAGTCCCTGAAATGAAAAACAAAAATGTCTTCTCCCACATCTCCTTATGACTTGTGTTTGGGAGAAGACGAATTAACCATAAAATGTAATTTACGCCTAAGGACTGTCAGCATTGACACRTCAAACTGGATGGAGGCAGAGATCTCAGAGGAATATTAGAGAAGTGCAACGCATGCCTGTTTCACCAACGTAGACAATTATCTCCTCTGGGTTAGTAAAAGATAAAATAGTTGGATAGTTGATCCTTTTGCTCCAAATAATTTCTTTGACATCTGCTTTTTAAATTGAGCCCTAGATCGTCAGTTAGGAAAGGCTGTAAAGATTCAAAATCACAGCAGGAAAGTGAAAATGTTACTTAATGGCATAGGCTTACTGCAAGGTAGGTGGCATCATATGACTTTTTAAATRGTTTACCTCAGTGATTCAAACAAAAATTGTTTTCACAGCCAGCTACAGCCCTCAGCATTTGTAGAGATGAGTATTTGTAGAACATTTTACAAAAAAAGATAGAACTGGACACTTTGTGCTTGCCTTAATAACTCTGAGTAGATGAAGTAGCACTGCCAGCTGAACCCTTAGGGAACTGGGCAGACAGGCTGAAGATTCTCTAGCCTGGCAGACTGAATTTAGTTATTTAACTCACTTAGGCAGACAGCTAAGGACCATATTAATTTGGACTTCATTTGCCAGAGTGAGTGACACAGCATCTTTCATGAGAATTCAGTCCTTTCACAAATATATGGCTTCAAGATGTAGTCAACAAGCTTATCATAAATAATTGAATACTGAAGCATACAAGAGGTCAGTTCTATTATTAATGGGACGCCTGTTACCTAGAATGTGTACTCATTTTTATCCTGTTAATCTATCATTTAAAATATAAAGAATCAATACTTCATATAACAACATTAATGTAACACCCACAATAAAGTATGTCACAACAAGTACATGATAAAAAATATTTATGACTCAAGTCTAGCTTTATCAGTGATGTTGGTGAATATTTTCAGTGCACATTTAGTGAGTTGGCCTTGGCTGGATGCCAGGTACCCACCTGGTTGCTTTATAACTCCCATTTACAGCTGGACAGTGGAAGGAAAATAAGATACAAAACTACAAGTAGGTTGAGAGATGGCATTTTACAAAAGCAAAGAAGAAATAAAAAGGAAAGCAAAAGTTTACGCACGTATAAGTAAAGGGGGAAACAATTAAACTCTACTTCCCATCATCGAGCAATATTCAACCACTTCCTGAAATGCAGAGCTTCAGCACACAGAGCGGTTGCTCCAGAAGGCAAACATTGCAAAATAACAAATGTCCCCCCCATTTCTCCTCTCTCCCTTAGCTTTTATATCTGAGCTGATGTCATATGGTATGGAATAAACTCTTTGATTTCTTTGGGTCGGCTACTTTGGCCTAGTCCTAGTCCCCTCCCAGGATCTTGCCCGCTCCCAGCCCCTTCATAGGAGGCATGGGAGAGAATGTTAAAGAGACAGCGCTGATGTTGTGTCAGGGCTGCTCAGCAGTAGCAAAAACCCTGGTGTGTTATCAGTACCTTTCCAGTTACCAATGCAAAGCACAGCACTGTGAGGGCTGCTAAGGGAAAATTGACCTTATCTCCACTAGGCCAAATACAGCACAAAACAGTCAGAGTGTGGAGTCCTACAAAGATTCAAATGAGCATCAGGAATGGATTAGCCATGACAATCTACATGTTTGCACATGAAGGGGCTTGCCAACACAGAGCAGGAGCACAGACAAGATGTGACTGACTCCTGCTCTGAAAGGGATTTGTTTTCAAGTCTGAGAAATTCTGACAGATCAATAGGAAAAAGAGCATCCTTTAAGCCTAGCATTTTATATTGCTGGGCAAAAAGGAGTTGCAGTTGGAGTGCCATCTCTAATGGCGCAGCAGCAGCATAATTTACCACCCCTGTACAGATCAAATTGAACCCCAGACATAAGAATGCTGCAACATACATCATAGTCTGCTATTCTTTTTAAATTGATTAGTCAGCAAAGCTAATTCAGTATTTTCTATTTTTTTCCACCCAGGAGCAACATTAGCAATTACAAGTAATTTTTCACTTCATCAATTAACTAAATAGGAGATTTTGTAATGTTTCTAGCGAGTAGCCCTAATGACCTGATAGTAAAATATATGCCTCAAAAAGTGCTTTGTCATTATCACAATCAGTACATAATAAAGTCTAAGAGCAACCCGCATTGAGGTCCATAAAAAAGAAGGCAAAACCTGTGCAAAAATAAGGAGGAAGAGAAGGACAGAAACTCTGGCCTTCACCTTCTCCCCCTCTCACCACCTCCTGCTAAAAGTTTTCACAGCTGTGAAAACCTAAAGCTACTGTCCCGTCCCGCTTGGAAAGAGGGAGTCRGGGAGGATTCTTTTAATAGATTTCTTGGACAAAAAATAAGGCGCAAATGCGGCAATATTATATCTGAGAACTGTTTATTGATAAAGAAGGGTAAGTGTTCCTACCACTTCCTACTGTGATAAATTGAGCCTCAATAGCCAATCAGAGGTTAGAATCCAATTAACAATTTATTAATTAATTAATAAAGAAGCATTAAGCAAACAGATATTAGTCAAGCAACCACAGATCTGGGCGGGCTAAAGCGGGTGGCCGGCTGCACCTAGGACACCAGCTAGGTGAGTCTCTCCCACCAACACCTAGGACACCGCGCRGCACGTGGCTTGAGCCCCCTTTTTTATATCCTCTCTGACGTGGTGTTTCTAGAAGTTTCCAAAGATCCTGATTGCTCTGCGTTGTGTTGTTCCTGGGGTCTTTTGCGGTTGCTATGATGACTGTTGGTCGGCAGCGTTACGGGGAGGCAGGAGTCTTCTCTGCACATTCGCACTTTCCTTCCCCTCCCCCCTCAGATGCATGAAGGTGTCACAAACTGGGCAAAATTGTGCTGGGGCTGTCAAACTGTTTTAATAAAGCATGTGGTGATTTCATGAACCAACTTATCACAATTCCCCCCTCTCTTTATTTACCATTTGGTTCATGAAATCACCTTAACACTTCATTGCTCATAGCCAGTCCCATTTCGATTTCAAAACGGCTGGTGTGGGTGCGTGGATATGGAATTATTATTACACGTTATATAGCAGGCTATCACCATTAACAGATAATACACTTGCAAGGTTCGAGTGGAGGACCTCATTGCTTTTGATGTTTTAATCAAAATTGATTTGTTCCCCAATCTAGGTGACAAACACCCCAGTTCACTCCTCTCTGTGGAAAGGGAGCTCAGAGTCATAGTTTCAGGTTCTGTTTTCATGTTTCGTTCTCTTCTGCCTCTCCTGTCGACCGGGTTGCCTCCGGTCATAGGGATGCTCACAGCAGCAAGAGGATTCTTCAGAGAACCGCCTGTGGGTTTCCACACGCTGTTTCCAGCGGGTCTTATGACTGTTTCAGTTTTTATGTTCAACTGCTTCTCCTGCACAGGGCGAGTATGCAAGTTCGACTCTGCATTCTCTCCCAATGAATTTGGCCACCTAGGGCCTGGGTTTATTGGAGTGATAGCAGTACAAATTGGGGTGGATGCTATGGGCAAAAATTCCCACCATTCTTTGGATTCATATTCCCATTGGCCCATGTTAAGTGGCAATTGTAACATTTGCATGATTTCAGCCTTTTTGGCTTTATAACAGGGGAGGTAAATCCCTGAAGGAAGCTGCCCCTGCATGCAATGGACCCATCACTCTTCCCTGCACACCTTGCAAATAAAACATACAAAAGGATAACAATTATAGCCAACATTATCACATTGATAATCAATGTGAAATCAAACCACCATTGTTGTGGTTTGAACTGTGCCCAGGACGTTCCCTCCCTCCCCACCCACCAGAGAGGGAGAAGGGGGAGCGAAAGCGAAAACCCAATTAACCCGAGAATTTATGGCTTTGAGATAAACATAATTGGGAGAGAGATACCTATGTGCTCCACAGAGATAGTCAGACAGGCTGCATGTCTTAAGTTGCAAAATAGATTTATTACTACACACTACTAAAAAGTATTACGGCACTGGGTGGGAAAACAGAGATAGGGATATTTACAAAGAGAAGAAAAAAAATAAAATGGACAATTTAAGACGCTCGTTATCCTTTCCAGGGGGACCCGTCTCTTTTTCCAAGTCCCCTCTCCACCCCTCCCATGTTACAGGGGGGCAGGAGAATGAAAGTCTAACACAGATCAAAACACTCAGTTGTCGTTGAGCGTAGAGGAGAAAACATTCTTACAGCCCAGCTGTGGGAGTAGGTCTTTTCCGAGAAACAGTCAATGTGTAACTGCTAAATAGCAGGAAAAGGAATTTCTTTACCTCGCAGGAGAAAAGAAAAGAAATGTCCTTCCAAGGCCCATGTTGTTTTTTTTCAGCGACGTGAGTCCGATTATCACAAACCTCCTGGCAGAACACAAAACACAGCTTCTTCTACATCAAAACTGTGTGGGGGGAGCAA